TCATAGCCAATTAATTTATACACCTAGATCGTGCCACCTAACTATACATAGAAACTAGGAGGACTAAATAAATACTATATTAATGATTACTTTTAGCCATAACAGAGTTCATTATTTGAGTGAGGTTTGGAACTCAAGTAGAATACTTTCAAGTGTTCTCTTGTGTAATATTCAAATATAAGTGTTACTAACTGAACCTGCTTTCTTTGATATACTTTTGAACATGGGTATTTATAATTAATGTTTTTTCATTGTATATTTTCTTCTTTTTTCTATGGGAAATGCAGATACCTTGATTAATAATTGGAAATTTGCGTCATCACTTAAGAACCATATAAACATTTTTGGATCCCAGCATTAAAACAGAAACAATGATTTGCTATGAATTATGTGGCATCATGTATGTCAAAATATGTATTTGTTCATTTATTTAAGATTCAGTTGTGTCAAGCATTCCACAAAGTGCTGGAAAAACAGTACTGTGGGAAGACTTGTAAGGGAAAAATAATTCAAATATAATGTGTGGAAAGCATCTTGAGGTCATAAATGGTTTTCATTTATTGAGCCTTTGCTATTGTTAAGGCACAATGGTATATGCTTTATTTTCATTATGGCATTTAAGGCTTTTGCTGTGATGTTTTTACAGTTGAGGAAAGGGACTCAGAATCGTGCTTCATGCCTGTTTGACCACCTATCCTTTGCCAGTATGTGCACTGTAAGCCCAACAGCTATATCACCCTGCCCTCATAGAGATTAAATTCTAGAGGGGAAGAAAGACAGATGGTAATAAAATAATAGCACAGATGTATAATATAATATTTAGAGATAATTGATTAAAGATAAGTAAATATAATTATAGATAAATATTCTCAACTGTGTTTCATGACAGAAAAGGTTCTTGTGAAATAGAACTAATGGAGAAAATGCTTTGATAAGTTGCTGAGAGCAACTGCTTGGGGGATAAAAGTAAAATTTGAGTTGAAATCTGAGATAGGCCAGGAGTTAACGATACACAGTAGGGCCTGTGCCTCATGACTGCCTAACAGTGAATGGGATTATAACTCAAGATTGCTGATCAGTTGGGGTGGAGGCTTACACAGACCTGGGTCTGATTTCTTTCACTTTATTGTTTGCTGACTTAAGGCAAGGCACTTAGTTATCTCTATCTCAGTTTCCCTGTTTGTGAAGTATAAGCAATAATAGTACCAACTTCTTGGTATTTTCTGAGGATTAAGAGAGATAATGTTTGTAAATATTTAGCAGACTTTCTGGAAAATGACAAATATCCAGTAAATCTAAGTGATATTAATAACAGTAGGGGTCAGCTTGTGGTTACACGTAAATACTACATTTGGTAGAAGAAAAGATTACAGGTATAAAAAAGGGAGAGGTGGTGCTTCTCAAACCTGTTTTACAGGCTTCATTCTCTTGTTAGAGTTTGTCCTCTAAACCCACTGCCTGCTAACTGACTGTGAAGTCCTTGAGCATAGAACTCTGCCATCCATTTCCTGCCATTAACACAGAACCTGGCTCCAAATTGATGGTTTTTGCAGTGATGATGTTTGAAGTAGAAGGGAATGAAATTGCCAAATTAAAGAATGAAGAGCTGACCATGGGAAACATTTGCATTTATTTACAGTGGAGAGAGTAAGAAATTGCTGCCAGAAAAACTAAGATAGTTGGTTTCCACAGCCCAAGAATGAAGAAGTTAGTTCCTTCAAATTGCATTGAGGTCTGAGAAGACAAAGGGACTACAGAAAGAGACCAGTTGTGAGGAAAACATTCCTCTTGAAGAAAGCAGTTTCAGGAACGTGTGGGGCAGAATCCAGATTGCAAATTTAAAATGTAGTTGGTGGTCAGAAGGTAGAAACCAATGGGTATCACATGCAAGGGTATTGATTGCAAGAAATCCATGGTACAGGTAAGCAGAAGGAATAAATTACAGGCTTAAGAAAAATCATTGTTATTGGGAATACTGATTGCGTAGGAATTGAGGGATGAGTTACAGGGCAGGGTCCTGGAAGAACGGAGGACTTGATACCCCTAGCTAATGAGACTTGCTTAGGGAGATCTGCATATATGTAAGTGGGAACAGTCTAACTAAACTGTCTGCTCTTTTACTGGTTTCCCTTTTCTGCTACTTCATGATCATTTCTGAATATCCTCTAGTGCAGAGTGTCCAGCAGTGTGTGGGAGGCTCTCATGTCAGCTGCATGGAGGAAGAGTTAATGTGCTCACAAAAATGAAAGCTTGTCCATTTTTACTCTTCCCAACTGTTTCCTTGTAAAGCATGTACATTTTTGAGGCCTAACTGGCTTTGATAGTTTTATGATAATTTATTTTTTTAAGTGTGGGTGAGTTGGCAAGTGATCACATTGGTTCTATTTTGTTGTGAATAAATAGTATGTCAAAGTTTTACACCGTTTCAAAAAATGTTATTTAGAATAAAACTTCCTTTGAAGCTACAATAGTCTCTTACTCAAAATATTTATTTAGACCATATTGTTTAAATAGATATATAATTCCCTTAAGGAACAAATGTATTCTATATAAGTCTGACTTTAAAACAAATAGACCTTCTGGAATTCATAGAAATACAAAATGGATATTCCAGTGTTTTAAGTGTTTATATACAAAGAAGTTGAGATGTTCCAATGTTTGTATGTATAGGTACAAAAAGAGTATAATTCATAAAAAAGAATGATGATCTGAAAAGTTTAGTTTCCAAATGTGTATTATGTTAAAGTTATAGAAGAGAAGAAATATTTGAATCATTAACTATTTGATAGTAATTGAATGAGTGATTCAGCTAATGAATAAATATGCATTTAATAAAGCAAATCTACATCTCTTAATTGTTCTGATCCTAGATATAGTTTTAACTCAATAAGTGTGCTTTAAACATGATGCAAAATTATTTTTGTAAAATTATCAAAAACATTAACAATTGAATATATGTATATGATAGAGTATAACCATTTATTGCTAACGTGGCTGTAATATCTGAATTTACAATTGGATAGTTTGTAAAGTAACTTGTATTGAGTAGAAACACTGCCCTTTAAAAACTGTTGTGTTTTGTTTTGGGTTTTTCTGATCATGAGCAACTAAATTGTGAGTTCATTAACACATTTCCTTTTGTGTTCTTATTTCTTAAATCACATATAGCAGAGTTTTACAACCTCTCACTATGTAATCAGATAGTTTACATTGGAAGAGGCACTCTGAAATATTAGGCAGGCTATGCAATTGAGTATTTCCCGAGTGGTAATAGAGCAGCAAAGTTAGGATAGAAGTGTAGTCAGAAAGTTTACATCAGAAGTTAGTTCTGATGTTGAGGACTACAACATCAGAAGCCAAATTGGGACCTGTAGATTTAATGTTTATTAATGAAAGAGACATATTTTAAACTTACCTGATCCAAAGCATTGGGAACAGCAAAAGCTCATTCAGTCTTACTCTGTGTAAATGGAATTTGACCCAACTGTGTTAACATTATCTAAAATACTGTCTGTTACAAGTACGTTACAGATGAAACGGTTTACATAAAAATCCAAATGGTTCCAGGAATAAGCATCTGGAGCTGTGTGAATGTAACTTTCAGGCATAGAATTGCAGTTTCAGGTAGCCCCATACCTCTTCTGTCACCCCAACCCCCAAATCAGTAATCACTGATTGCATCTAAAGCTGTAGAGAGATCTTTTCCTGGCAGTTCGGATAGTTACAGTAGATTGTTAATCTGTGAATGATTGGACGAAATCCCTTCTGCCTTCAGAATTTCCATGCAAATTAGAACTAAATGTCTGAGATAAATTTATTAACTGTAGTTTAGGAGTATAGGTTAGCTTCAGCACAATGCGTTAGCATAGGTTTTTAGCCATAAAAAGTTACACTTCATTTATGATAATTTCCCGTGGATTCACTTTATAATATAAACTGGTAAGATGATTTTTCAAAGAAATGAAAGATTTTTGAGTGTATTTTTTCAGAAGATATAGTTGGATTGTTCCAGATACAAAATGTTCACATAAATGACTTTTCCTATGCTATGTCTGATCTTAAGAAAATATTTACTTACTTATATCACCATTAAACTAAAAGGAGAGTTGGGGCCTCCCCAGTGGCGCAGCGGTTGAACACTGGGTTGCGAAGCTGCCCGCAGCCTCTGCAGCGCTGGTTCGATCTCCGGTCACTGGGCGAGGGTCCCACATGGCGCGCAGACCTCTCCTGCCGCACGCTGCTCCCCTCAGCAGTGTACTTCCTCACTCTGCCTGTTCTACTCTCTGCTCTGGCTCTGGTGAATTCTCTCGCCCTCCTGGGCCTCTGACTGTATCCAGTGCTTGTATGAATAAATAAATATTTAAAAAAAATAAAAAATAAAAGGAGAGTTGTTTTGCATTTTTCAAATACAGATGGAATTGAAATCAGTATATCAAAGGGAGAAAAACAACAAATTGAAAAATAATATCAGAAGTGTGGTGGGCCAATGGGAGTGTCTTTCTGAATGATCAGAAAGATCAACAAACATTTAAGTGAAAGATCAACAAAACATTTAAGTGAAACTCAGTAGAAGAAAGTAATATTCTAATAATTATATTTTATAAGTCATTTTACTTTCACAAACATTTCACTTCAGCATTATTTTATTGGAGTGTATACTTTTTGCATTATCGCCTAGGGGAGACACTTAACTGGAATGTACCATAAAGTCAATTTTTTTCTCTTTTGAATCTCTGGGTGTTGCAAGTCCACCAGCATCTTGTAAAATATACAGTCTGTTATTCTTCTCACTTTACATTTGTAATTTAAAGGTTATGTATGAATGACATGTGTCATTCTATCGGTGAATGAGCTTTGTTTTCTTGAACATTTTGGTAAGAAATTTCGATGTTAAATCAACATAAAACATTTAAAAATAGAAATGGGTGTTATTTATTAAGATGGTAAAGAGAAACAATACTCGGAACAAATGCTGATCCTCTTTTCCTCCTGTCTTTCAGGCCATCCGCTGCACACTGGTGAACTGCACGTGTGAGTGTTTTCAGCCGGGGAAGATTAACTTGAGGACTTGCGATCAGTGTAAACATGGCTGGGTGGCACACGGTGAGGAAAATCTGGACTTTCCCCCTGTTCTTGTTATGTTCATGTGAATGTGCCTATTTTTTTAGAGTGCTCACTGGTCTGGAGAAGAGAGGGGTTAGCTGTGCTGCTAGTGTTCCCATTTAGCCCACAGCTCTCAAATAGCATATTCTCAGCTCCCAGAAGTAAAGCAAGACCAGCAGCTCCCAGCAAGAGGACAAGATGTTTATAGGACAGTTGGGCCGCAGGGTTCTGACTGAACATAGCAGCAACCAGTAAGCACCAGGCCTGATGAAAACCTAAATATACCGCAGTTTGCCTTTCAGGGAAGCCGACAAATGTTCTTTGCTTGAGGAGGGGGCCGTGACTGCTCACCCTTGTCCTCTGCACTAGTGTTGAGTTTATCCTCCACATGTTAAATTCTGTGTGTATAAGATGGGTAAGAGAGTGAACAGGAACATTATTTGATTAGTATCTGAAAACTAAACATATGTACCCCCTTTCAGTGTGCATTGTGATTGGAGAAGTAGCCAGAGCCAGTCGAGTGTGAGCTCTGTAGTGGGTGTTGGGGGTGGAGGTGACCTAGGTAAAGGCTGGAAGTGTTGAGGCATTTTGCCAGATGCACAGAGCTGTGCCATCCATGTGCCTTAGTTGAACATTTAGCATGTTCTTTTATATGATTTGTTTTTTATACATTTAGACAAAAGGAGACTTGAAAATGAGCAGAGGTATTTTCTTCAGATCCTAGACTGTAGAATTTTAAAAGATAGGTAATGTTTACAAAAGAAATCCTGGCTTGAATTTTTTTTGACAGCCTGGGATATTGGCTCTTAAGTGGACATATTCTTCATTCCCAAGAAGTGCCAAATATCCAGTGGGCTGTATTTTTATAAATGTCATGTTATTCTAGCAACATCTGAGGTAACATCACAGGACCATGTCTTGAATTGCTTTTAATTTATCATGTACCTTGCTTGTTAGGGCGTGTATATTGGCATTCCAGGGACATTACAGCTATGCTTCTGTGAGAGAGAAACTAGAGGTCAATGTGGCATAGTCTGGAAGGAGTGTACCTGGCAGACACAGCCTCGAGCCTTCGGTGCCCCTAGGGATGAAACTCTTCCCTGCCTTGCTGACAAGGCCAAAACCTGTGACAACCCTCAGTCCAGTTTTGAACAGTAGATAAGCTGTTACCTTTGCAACCTATGGATATAGGTATATTCTGTAATTTCTTCTCTTTCGTTAGTAGTTTGCTAAGGCTGCCATAATAAAATGCCACAGACTGGATGACTTGAACATTAGAAATTTATTTTTTCATACTTTTGGAAAAGTCCAAACGCAGGGTGAAATCAATCTTGAGGACTTCTCTTCCTTGCTTGCCAATAACTTCCCTTTCATGGTATCCTCAGATGGTCTTTCCTTTGTGGCTGTGCTTCCTGATGTCTCTGGGCATTCATATTTCCTCTTTTTTACAAGGACATCAGTCAGACTGGTTTAGAGCCCACCCCCTAATGGCCTCATTTTAACTTAATTACCTCCTTCAAGGCCCTATTTCCAAATGCAGTCACATTCTTACTTAGCGGGTATTAAAATTTCAACGTAGACATTGGGGTGAGGGGAGACACAGTTCAGTCCCTAATACTTCCCAAATGTTCTTCTTTCTCTGAATAAGTATTGGCTTTGCTAGGTAACAGGTCCAGAGCCTAAGTTCCAAGACCACCGAGAACCATGGATGTCAAGTAGGGGGTCAAATCAAAGCTGTGCAACTTCAGTGGTCTATAACACAACATCTTTGATCTCCATTTTTTCCCTACAATACAGGTTTAATAATACCTATCTTGCAGGATTATTATGAGAATTAAAATAAAATAAATGATGCCTTTAAAATAAGTAATACATGTTAAAAATAACACTCTGAACAATGGATGAACAAAGAAGGGGGTCAGTCATTCAACACAGAACTTTTCATTTATTCATTCTCTTATTTTTTTCCAAAACCATCTTGTGTTAGCATCATCTATCTAAGGTAGTCTTGCTAGCATAAAAGTTTACTGTGTCACCAGTTTGTTTTATTTATCCAGCTTCCACGTGCATATTACATTAGTAGTGTAATGGGAGGAAAAAGCAATATTTCTTCCCTCTGGAACAACATAAATTATTGCTGGCCAGTGGTTGTTTCTAAGGTTTTCTGAAGGATGTGATTTTTCACCTAACTTGAATAAGGTATTTCTGTTACATCAGACTGCTTTTCCTACTGTTACCAAAAATTCAGTGTTTCTGGAATATTAATTTTGGATTTTTCAGATCTACATTTCCTTCATGACCATTATAAACTTGACCTTAGTTTTCCCCACAAAAGGGGCATATCTATACACAACTGAAAATATATACACACAGATAAGTTCATTCTTCCTCCATTTATTAGCATAGATATGACAGTGAGGGCTTCTAACTCTTTTGTTGGCATTGAGACGTGATCACCCAAACCTTCTGTCCTTAACATTTCAAACAATTGTTGCAAAGAAACCCCAAAATCATGTCTCCAATTATTTCTGCTCAGAGTTGAAATACAGCATTAGTGCAATGTCCTATGTGTAGGACAAGGAAGCAGTGACTACTTTTTTATGTGTAATTTTTTTCCCCAGTGAATGTAAATGGGATAGCAAGAAGCCTACCAAGATATATCTCACACACAGAGTTGTTTTGTTGTGGCACTGAACACACTTCACGTTGTTACTATACTGTAGAAAATATTTTTTTAAATAGTTAAAAAAAAAATCAACCAAATGCTAAAATCAGGTGTTTGCTACAAAAAAAAAAAAGAACTCTTAGAAATTTGTTGGTCTCTTTTGAGTATTTTTCTTTCTGTATCTCTTCTGTTAAAAAGATCTTTAGTTTCTTCGTAAGATGTGTTAGATTTCATAGGTCATTATATATCCTACATGTACATATACACACTTACGTCATTGCCTTACAGATTGCTTCTTAATCCTGTTCGAATTGTTGACATTAGCTGCTTGACAAAAATGTTTTAAAAATCTAAAGAGAATTTGTATTTAATTTGTCATTCTAAGCTCCTAGAGTTTGAAATTACTTTCTGGGTTGTGGAGTTATCTACACATTATTTCCTTGAAATCTTTAGCACCATTGAGATAATGGGGAGGGTGTGGGTGGGAAGTAGAGAACTAAACTGTTAGTTGAACACTGTTAGTATTTTCCACTGAATCAATAAAGGATTTCCTGCCCTTCTCCCCCCCCAGTAATTTCAGATCTTCTACTTTTATAGTAGAAATCAAGATTTTACTGAATTTAACTTTATTTAAAGCAAGCTTATTTGGATACAAAATGTGCAAAAATTATAGTGTATAATAACTTAGTAGGCTGGAAGTAGTCCAGTGTTTTACATTTTTTCGTATTTCTGTTCAGAGCCCTAGGATAAAGAACTCCAGCATACTGCCTATATATATATATATATATATATATATATATATATATATATATATATATATATATATCTCCATATATCGGGCCTCCCCGGTGGCGCAGCAGTTGAGCGCTGGGTTGCAATGCTGACCGTGGCCTCTGCAGCGCCGGTTCGATCCCTGGCTGCTCCCCGGCCACCGGAGGAGGGTCCCACATGGCGCACAGACCTCTCCTGCCGCCCACTGCTCCCCTCAGCAGTGTACTTCGGTCCTTCTGCCTGCTCTGCTCCCTGCTCTGGCTCTGGTGAATTCTCTCACCCTCCTGCACTTCTGACTGTACCCAGTGCATGTATAAACAGAACAAACAAACAAATAAATAAATAAATAAAATAAAAAAAATGCCTCTATTAAAAAAAAAATATATATATATATCTCCATATATCTATTTATCTCCTTAGTCTGCCTTTCCTTAACTCACCTGAAATAACCAGTGAGTACTAAAAAAATTTTCTACAAGTTTTGTGTCTGGCTCAAAGTGTCAAAATTAGATATTAGGACAAGAGGAATAGTAGCGATAGTTTCTTTACTGGTTACATATTTTTGGTTGTTAAAAAATTCAGTTTGTTTTTATTTTGATCCTTCCCAATATACAGGAATAGTAATTCTATCATTCACATATTTGAGGCTTCAGCCAAAGACTCTATATAATATTAAAAATTAGCAAAGTACTACTGGTAAATACCCAGTAGTGGATATAGGTGGAGGAGTGGAGAAGAGTCTCTCTACTCATCGCTGTCTTTGGAAGAATCTATGCTTCTAATGAAAAGTGTTGCCAGTTATTGCCTTTGCAAAAAAACTAGAGGCATGGTTTTAAAGCTGGAGAACAATTGTACTAAACTGCTTTTATTATTTATTATTTCCCAATTAATTTTAATGTCCATAGTCTAGAGGAAGATTATTTCTAAACCATTAAATTAAGTAGTAATTTTTTTGATGTAAACCATATTTTAAATGATTATAGGAAATACTTTATGACCATTCAAGACAACTGGAAATTTAATTTTTTTATGGTGAGGGTATATTTGTCTTATGTATTTGATAAATGAGAACAGATTTTAGACAGGTAATTTACTTAGATTTTTTTCCCCTTACTAGATTAGTAAATTTACTGGTGATGAAGCCCGTTTGTAAAAGGTACCTTAAAAAAATTCCATGGCTTCTTGGTATGTTTAGTAAGCATCTGGCAAGGATATGAGGCTTGATGAATAAAAAATATATTACATAGCTTAATGAACCCCACAGCAGCTTTCACAGCACAAATTATTTTCTTTATAGAATACTTTGACATTAAACCAAAGGGATGTGCCATTCCAACAAGCTGCGTGAGTGCTGGAATTTTCATTCACTTCCCAGCAATCTGAATTAACACTAGTGTTATTTCCTTTGGCTGAGGTCTTCCTGTGAGAATGCTTATTGCGTTGGTATTCTTGAAACCTTTTCTCTATTATATTTTATAAATGTGATTTCTCTTTACTACTTGCAGTTAATTCAAGGAAAAGATAGTCCCAAGTTATTACTTTTAATTATTGCTCATCAAGCCAA